CTCTCTCTCTCTCTCTCACACACACACACACACACACAGAGGATGATCAACGCTTACCCAGGTCCTTCCCAACTAGGCTGCCAGGCACTAGCTAGAGGGACGGGGTGAGGGTTTCCATGTGCTCAGGCCCAACTTCCTTTGTCTGGTTCAGGTCCTTTGTTTTTTTCCTTAACGACTTGCTTCCTTCTTATCTACCTCCCGGAAGGGATCTCATAGACAAGTCTCCTGGCTTTGGTCCTCTCTGCTTACCTGCCTGCTTCATCTTTAGTTATGGCAGCTTCAGCCTAGTCTCACACTATCCATTTTATCCTAAGAGCAAACCTGGATGGGGCGCTCTGGTGAACGGTCCTAGAGATTTTGAATGGAAGTCGCTGAGCCCAGCAAGATATTCTCCTCACCAGGCCTCTGAAAACCCGACAACCCTGGCCTGAGCGAAGCAGCCCTTCCCTCTGTAACGGCTTTCTAAAGGCACACTGCTTCTGAACGTGGAAGCTCCATCTAGCCACCAAGAGGCATATGCTCCTCTAGGAATAGGCCCTTTTTAAAGTCTCAGCTTTCCTGATGGATGGAAGGGTTCCAAAAACAAATTTAAAAGGACAGATGTGTCTTTTCTTTGGAGACATTTTCATGTTTAACCCACAACTTTTCAGGACATTAGTATCCTGATGAACCAAGGAAAGGCAAGGCAAGCAGGTCAACTGGATTATATATCGCATGATTATTTAAAGTCAGACTTGCCATTTTTTCTCCAGCCATACCCACTACTAAGCTCTTATCCTTATGCCAGTATTAAAAGGAGGATTTTAAAATTCTTCGACATCTGCACCATTTTACTTAAAATTTATCAAGACTTTACAGGGTATGTTCAAATGGGTGAATTTACACTCCACTAAGGGGTCTGCACGTCGCTGCTTTGTTTTCAAGGAGGACACCATTGACACACCGTACTGAACGTTGGACACAAAAGCCGGGATCGTATGAAATACCGATGCCTGACGTAGTAAATCAGACGGCAGCGTAAGCTCATGGCCTGCTTTGTCCAGCTTGGAAGGGCGAGGGCCAAGTTGCCACAACCCAACCAGCCCCCACTTTCCCTCCTCCATTTGGGACTGTGCAAGTGGAATCCTTTAAATATTCAAAACAGCCCAAGTCCAA